TTTTTTTTTTTTTTTTTTACTGATAAATGTATTTATTAATTTCTTAATGTATTTATTTGTTAATTTATTTTTTTACCATATTTAATTTTTCCCCTTATATATTCAGTTCAGGTAATCCAAATATTTAATCTTGCTGTCATAAGAGTGGAAGAAGTATACAAATACTGAGTACGGCTGAAAATGTAAATACTCGGGTCACGTCGTGCTTGAAACGTTTTACTGGATTGTTTTGCATTTTTCCTAGTAATATTTTAAAATACCATAAATAGTTTCTCATTGATTTAGTAAAAGCAATGGTTGTATGAGCATACATAATATGTGGAATTAGATTTATTTTTTATTTACTACCTTAAACTGCAGCTCTGGTTCATTCACACAGAAAAAAATAGAAATATATAATTAAATATATTTTCGATTTCTACTTTTTTGGGGGGTAAAATGGTTAAATAAAATAAACTGTGATGTACTTCTAAATAAAAAGAAATACTTTAACTATTCAATTTAATTTCTGCTATCATTATTACTTATAATATCAACTCAATAATCTGCTCCTTGACTCTAGTATATAAAAAGCAGTCGCCAGGTGGCGGTATAAGACTGCCCATCAATACTAACTAAACTTAACCCATGAAAATCCTGTATTCACTGTGGCAAAAAGCGAATGTAACTCCTATCAATCTTTTGATATTTGTTCCAAGTCTCCCTGCAAATTCACCCCTTCTGACCCTTGACCCTTTTCTTGGAATTCAAACTTTCTGAACACAAAATGAAATAACGATTTAGATTTAAATTCATACAATAGGCCAAGTTGTTGGTTGTAAAATAAGTATGCATAAAAAATAAAATAAAAAACATCATTAACATACAAGATGTGCATATTGATTAAAAAATGGGATATAACTCAACCAAATCCATATTTTATTGCAGGGACGGACTTAAACAGCAACCATGCACACACTCTCTTTCTCACACACTCACACACTGCCTGGATATCATGCTGGAATTTACTTTTACACTTATGTACAACCACATAAAGACACACACGCATATAACAGGAGCTATGATTGGTACACACATCTCCTGGACGATTTTCATAGGTATTACAATGGCAATTTCACAAAGGACTGCATATGAATGAAAGCACGGATCCATATTGTAAGACTATAGACTTCATACAAGCAAAGCACGAGATAAAAAAAATCCTTAAACAGAAAGCCAGGGTATTTCAATATTTAACATTTCCATGGTACAAATGCCCCCAAAACTGCAGGATTTCATGTGGCTCTTCTTTTTTATCGTCCATGCTGAAAGACAGAGGTGTAGATCGGTGGCGCAAGATATGCGCAAAAATTAAACTAAATTAAAATTGGAAAAAGTCAAACATGCAGGCGATATATTGTATATTTTCCCAAGCTTTCTCTCCAAAAAATAAAAAAGTTAAAAAGTGGCAGGAAAAAAATGGTCCGGCCTTTAGAGGCCCCAGTAAAGTTTGTTCCAGAGGCTCCTGGAAATCATATGGCTACATTAAATTTGAATCATGTTTCAGTCAGCAATGAGCTCCTTATCCAAATCAACGCGTCCAAACACGCGCCGGCCTGCTCATCTCCACCAAATTATGTCCACAATAATAATATTATTAATAATAAGGATAACAGCAATATAGAATAACAATCAACTAGCTGATGGTTTTCAGTTTGTTGACAATCTTCTTCTCTTTGACGCGTCTGTTCTGAAACCATATAGTGACCTGTCGCTCGGACAGGTTGGTCTGGGCAGATATCCGCCTCCTTTTGTCCTTTGTGATGAATTTATTGGCGGCATATTCTCGCTCAAGCTCCTTCAGTTGCACCTTAGTGTATGGCACGCGCTTCTTTCTCCCGCGTCGGAACGAGCCGATGTCTCCTGGCGCGTGGGACACTGCCTCTGATAGAGAAAAACACGAGGATTAATAAAACATGTCAGATCTAACATCGAATGGATAAAACATTTGCTCTATCACCAACATTTTATATTAATTTGCGTTAGATATATTATCAAGTGAGAACATTTGAATTTAATCCAAGTTAAATCCTCTTTAATACATTTATTTGACACATTTGTAGAGAATTAAACATGCATTCTGGAAAACTTAACATTTAAGTCCCATGAAAAAGAAAATAATACAAAATAATATAATATTCTAGAATAAAATAATTATCCTCAGCAAAATTTTGTGATAAATGTAAAATAAAAATGATCTTGTATTTTTTTCTGTCTCTGAGGAGAATAAAAAATGTACACACTATTTACTCCATTTGATCATAAAACGTGCTTGGTCAGCTTCATCTACCTGGCAGGGAAGATTTCCACATGTGCCCCGGCTGAGGCTGCTCCTTGGCGCAGTAAACCTGGCTGTTCCAGCCGTTAGGGGCGAGAGTCCAAGGTTGGTAGCTCTCCATGGGTAGAATTGACTCGTGTCTCGCTTCTGACGGCGCGCTGATAGTAGGAACCACAGGAACGTCAAGGTAACTTGGGACAGGTTGGTATGGCCCTGAGGGATAAGTAGGATAGAAAGCAAATTCCTTTGCCCGAGAGGAAAACTCCTCTCCTGAAGCAGCGGTGTCCATGTATTTCTCTCCATACGCAGAGGGCGGCTGCGCTCCGCATGATTTAATGCCGCTGTGATGCGACATCCTGCACGGGTAGCCAAAATACCCGTACGGCAGGGAAGCGCTAGTTGAATTCTGGGCAGCAGAACAGGGGCTGCACTGCTTCACCGGCTCCCCCACACCAGAGCTGTCCCCGGTGGAGTAAGCCGCCGTGGCGCTTGGTGCCAGAGACGCGGGATGTGCCATCAAATTCCTGCACTGATTCGCGGCGAAGTTGCCACCGGGGAAGCCCTCCATGTTCTTGCTGGCTTCGTCGGAACCCACGCCGTTGTCATAGAGGAACATCACCGAAGGGTCGACCCAACGAGGACGGAGGAGCAGTGACGTTGTCATAGCACTGCATCCAACATCGGAAGCTTGTGACTCTTTTTTAAAAAGCCCAGCGACTGAAAAAAGGAGACGGCGGGGCTCACATAGAGTAAAAGCAGTTCTGACGCGCACAGGAGCGCAGAGGTTGGCTCTTATTGGTCCAGACGTGGTCATGTGACCGGCGCTATGCAAAGAGGACGGTAAACATCAGCAGATAATTACATGGAGAATAATGCGGCGAAGTGAAGTGATGGTACCTATGAGGGGATTTTTGCCTTTGTCTCTACAGATCTGAGTTCGTTGGTGTGTTTTCTACCAAACAAGTAAGGCGCACATGCCGTTAGTTTGCTTTTTCTATCTTATCATGCGCTACATTTAAATTATAGATGTTAAAACGAAATAAAATATAACATTTTCTCAAATATATCATATACAAACTTCAAATAGAAATCACATAATTAGATTTTAATTCAACATAAGGGTCGTATATAGGCAGTTTCACACTAAATGTGGATGGCTTTTACGCACGCACACTACTTCTCTTTGTCTTCATGTGATGCATGTGTGAATATATGTCTGTGGTGTTTAATATGTTGGTTATAATGTGGGTTTTCACATTTTATAGTTGCTTAAAAAGAGATTGTCTTTATGCAAAAGTGCACATTAGTCCAGCGACTAGGCAAAGAGATATGCATAATACGCACTAGTTGAAAATCCGCGTCTTTGCATTACTACTCCCATATATTGTGTGGGAGTAGCTTAAGAAAAGCACCCACTTTAAGAGATTTACATTTCAAGTATTTCTACAAAACCTAATAGGGATGATATTTCCATATCCTGCTATAAAGTAAAGGAAACACAAATGAAGTAAAGTGTAATTTATCGTTCGGGTGGAATATTCTAGACATTAGACTTCCGACGTGTTTACTACATGCAAAGTCAGAAGGCAAGCCCTGGACTTGGCTGTGTTTTACATAGGAAGGTGAGACGCGGCTGGAGGCCAAGGTCAAGTTGAAAGTTGTTGTTGTCTGGCCGTCCAGCCCCGTCACACCATTCAGGCTTTGAAGGGCCCCGTCTGAGCGCCTTTGAAAAGAGCGGAAGAAGGGTGAGAATTCCTGTCCTAATGAAAAGCTATTGGAGGGCACTAACTTTTACCATCATTTTGTTTTGTTTCTCCAAGCTCCTTTTCTCTCACGATCTAGGCCGTGCTTCTTCTCGCTTGCTGTCTAACTTCGACAGTTCCATGGCGCTGGAAACAAAACAGCAGAGATATCATGCCTTTTTTTTAAAGTAGAATTCCAGTGGAAGAGTTTTTGGCAGATACGTGTGAAAATGATGTAGATCCATGACAAAGACGGGTGGAAACGTGATATGTGTGTGTGTCTTTGTGTGTGTGTACGTCTGCTTTACTCCATTCTACTATGGAAAAAGCTTTAAGTTCACCAAGAATTTTGTTCTTTTTATTTCTCACTTTGGTGACAAAGTAAAAATATTGATGAAATTTGTAAGCATTGTATATTTATGAAATACAATTATTTATGTTTCGTCTGTTGCAGGAAAACGTTTTAATCACAAAGATGGCATAATAAATGGTGCACCACTAACATGCAAAATTGCTGTCAATCAAATGAGCGACTAATCTCCAAATAAAAAAAATATATTATAACGATAGGATTTTGATCCATAGTTGTAATGTTTTTTTGTTCTGTTCTGTTTTTTATTTTTATTTTTTATTGATCAACTAAAGAAACTGATGCACAAACTCCGATTTGCTTTTTACTCTGGAATGCATAATAAGATGTATATTATGTACAAAGTTGATCAAAAGGTGTTCACGTTTGAAGCAGAGTGCTTCAAGCTACACCCCACAGGATGCATAGAAGGATAAAGAAAAGAAAAAATATGAATCAAGGCAAAATGTATTTGAAAGGCTTAGGACGAAAATAATTTTCCATAAATACAGATGCTTAGTGTCTTTTGCAAGTAGCCAATCCTGTTATTTTCAGAAAATTGCCAATTTTTCTCTGTCCTTACACTGGCATAGTTCAAAGTGAAGATCAAATGTGAAAATGAAAATCTATGTGATGTAAAAGGTTATTGGAATGTATACAAAGGGCCTATCATACCCTGCTTCTAGTCAGTATATTTTAAATCAGAAAAAGTAACCACTGAAACCCCCTCTATGGTTTTCAATGGAGATTTGGAGGCTTGTTTATTTTCACTTGAAAAATCTTAATAATAACAATTGAGCTTTCAGATTTTGCAGCTCAGACAGAGAAATAACATATCTTGACCTCTATACATAATGTTAGAATGTAGTTAAAGTAATGAATTAATGCGTAAATAGGATTAAACTCAGTTTTGGTTAATCTACTTGGCTAACAAAGCCCGTATCTTTTTGAATGCTGAACATGGGTTGGAACCCCCCGCTAGAAAAGTCACATGTTCAACATGTGGTTTTAAAAAATGTCAACCTCCAATAGCCATAAAATGGTTTCGATTGATAAAAAAAAAAATAGATATGAATGTGTTTTTGTTTTTACCAGAATGAGTCTGTCGTGAAGTCAAGCTCCTGGATCAGACCGAACAAAGAGGATTTCATTTGATTTAAAAGCCTAAGTTTGTTTTACCCTGGAGTCCACGAAGAAATGCCTTAAAAAGCGTAAAAGTGGTCTTGAGATTTTTTATCTTTTGCAGTGGATTTACCGACCACCTAAACTGACATATGCATTTACAAAAACTAATTCTCCGTCATGTAAACAACCTGAATGAGTGGTGGAAAAGCCGCTCAGAATAACCTTTGATGTCAAAATGCGTTTAAAAGTTGGAGGCGATAAGACTAACCAAGTCTGGCTTATAAGTTTAGTTGTGTTTAACTTGAAAATGTCAGTGGGGGTTTTAAAGGGACTTCGTATGTTAAAAAGATGAGGTCTGGATTACCTTATATAGCAGCATAAAGACGACCAGCTTACCAAAGCAAGAGTTCTTTTTGAATATGATTTCAAAAGGTTATTCTGTAGTCTAGAGCCAAAATATTGAGCAATATATATTTTCATAACTGGTGGGAAATCCAGATTTATAGTGCTTACTGTTGTCCCTCCTGTTATACTGTTCACACTTTTTGTAAATCAGTATATGAGCGTTTTAACAGATGAAAAAAATGTAATAAACGATAATAAGATACTTAAACCTTTACTCGGCTTTAGAAAACGCTTAACATGCTAAATAAACACAGAAAAGAAAACTTGACATAATCTGTTTCCAGGTTTGTGAGTCAAAATCCGAATCTGTGGTTCGCCTCGATTTGTTCTCTGTAGCCTCTCAGGTAAACCCTTCAAGCCAATCATGGGTTATGCACAGTAGTCATGTTTTTATCTTCACATTATCGCACATGGAGGGCCAAGAAATGAAATCATTGAGCGGCATCGCGCAGCAATAAGCATGAGTCATGGTACAATGCCTGGCCTGTTGCGTGCGCGCTGCCTTCTGGCGTTTCTGCCACTGCAAGCAAATCAGGCCCAGGAATAAACACGGAGTGGTGTTAATCGTTAACTCTTCCTCGCTCAGTGTTTTGTCCTCTTCTGACTTTTCATTGGTGTGTTTAGTCACATTACAACAAGGCTATCAAATATGGTCCTTGATGTAATCTATAATGCTTATTTGGAAATCATTCAATCATGTATTTCTTTTTTTTTCTTCTATTTTTCACTTCTGCAGGTTCAGCAGCATTGGTGTTACCAAGTAGTGTCTCCAGGAGGGGGGCGCACCCATCAAGCAGGCTAAACAGCCGAGATTCTGCACAAATAAAGCCAAGGTTATCATCATCTATATCCAAAAGACACATCCAGGAGAAACAAAAGAAGCAATAATCAACGGGAAAACACGATCCGTGGAAAATCCACCAATCCACCTAGTGAGCTATCAGAAAAGTCTGCAGCAATTTTTCTCTGACTCCTTTTGCATCCAAATTTTAGAGCTCTTGGAATAGAGCAAATGATTGAGGCGAGAAAAAAAAATAATTTAAACAGATATTTTTTATTTATTTTTAGATCTCTCATAACCCATCTTGCAGCATAAATCAAACTCCCTAGCCCCAGTAGTGAAATGTCCGTCTCGCTGGAGACACGTGTTTAAAGTAAGTGGTCGTCAAGAGCTGTCAAAACATCACAACCAATATGTTTTTGTGGTCGGAGTTGGGAACCACAGGGCGGGCACACACTTGACTTTTCCATATTTTCTGGACTCTTGCCTGTAGTGCGATGATGACGGCTTGTATGAAAAGAAGAACAATAAAACAAGAACATCCGAAGGGCTTCATTTCACCTAAATGTTCATCGCAGTGAGGAGGAGTTTGTTCCTTCAGTAGGCCTGGGATGCCTGTTGAAATATCGGCCGGTTTCAGCTTCTATAGAACTGATTTTAAATGCTGTGTTAACAGGCTGCTAAGGCTGCAGCCGATAAGCTGCCTGTCATTTATGGGAATTCATGAGCCATACCAAATACAAAGGAAAAGAGAATGTCAATTTACTTTAATATCTGCTTTTATTTTGAAATTAAGTTATATTTAAATGAGTAATATTTTTATTTTTCTCGTTGAACGCATGAGGTCTTCAAAATAAATCTTCAAAATATAACAATAAAAATAAAAATACAATGATTGTTATTATTATTACTTTTGTTTTTATTATCATATAATAAAGGACTCCTTTGGCTAATAATCTACACTTTTTTCACTAATGAAAGCTCCAGATTTAGTAAACTTAAAACTAAGAGGCACAGTAACAAAAGCTTCTATTCAAAATGTAAAATTTGATTTGCATATAAAGGCTTTGAGGCCATTTTTGCGTTAAAAAAAGGGAAAAAAAGATAAATAATTTCTGAATATGCAGGCTGACTAAAAATAGAAAACAATGTCATTTTACATTTTTTCGTTTGAGGGTTATATTTAGCAACTATTTTAAAACTATTATCGAGAAAAAATTGGTCAAGATTTATGTTTAAAATGCAGGGAAAAATATTAATATGATTTAGGATATCCGAATAACTGAAAAGCTCTTTGCTATTAATTCATTTTATATGTTTATATTAGTGATATCGAAATACAACAAAATAATGCACAAGATGGGTTTCCTAAATTGTGACCTACTTTTGCAGACTCTCCAAACCCTCTAAAAAAGCACTAATCGAGGAAAAAAATTAAGGGACTAGAAAAGGGCAAAATAAACCCAAGAAAGCCCAAATTGTGAGGTTAGTTTATAAATTTAATGTGAGTCATCATTTTGCAAAGGAATCGGGTGAGATTCACCAGTCGCACTCCTGACACGATGCAAATTAGATGGATGTCCTGTTTGCATCGTGCATTCCCCCGACATTGCCGCTTAAATTGCAAAAACAATTATCCTGAAAATAAACGAATACTGTGAAAGAAATCTACCTATAGCCAACATCAGCAGTCTCAAACGGTTAAAAAAAAAAAAAGGAAACCAGTGAGGAAGAGAGCGGAACTGATGGCACCGACACCCACTAAAAATGAAAGCCCATCTGCAAGCAGACAGACTTGTAAATATCACCTTTCTCCGAGATGCCAGAGACGCACACACTGGCCACCAGACTCACATGTGAAATACCAGGGCTTTGCACCTGGTGTGTTGCTACTGCTGAATAGGTGGAAAAAGGAAGCCCGCCCATTTACCCACCACCCATCTTTAAGTTGAGCAACAAAGGCCTGATGTCAGAGACTTTACTTTGTTGGATGGATATGATGAAACTGTCTCAGCGCACAGATTTCCGGCTGTTTAGTCATCGGGAAGCGTTTCGCTCCAAGGTCAATGAGTTACTCTCTGTTTGCTGCGTCATCCTGTTTCAAGGCCAAGTTGAAGCAATGGAAATGGGAGGGGCCTCTGAGGTTGCATTCTTCTTTTTTTTCCCCTTACAGGTTGTTTATATTAGACGCGAAATCCCCCTCAGATGGATTCAGAATCCGCATCTTCATGCCATGTTCAAAATATTCTGGTTGTTGTGCTGCAGAGACAGCAGATTTGATTGCGCCCTCACTGCGCAGGCTCCATGGTCAAGTTCAAGTTGGGCTGTCTTGTAAAGTTGAGGGGGTGCACACGCCGCGGCGTCTGCATTGCAGGGCGCCCCATTCTTTGATCTGTCTACCCAACCCACCCCTAAAATAATCGCAGCTCAAGCCAGCTGCAGGTTCTGTCTGCTGTCCATTTTTTTTTCATTTATAGGATTAACAGGATCTACTGCAAGCAAGCCTATCCAATGTCCTTCACTATCTTAAACACACACAATATAATTGACACTACTGTAAACGCGCAAGGTCATCCATCTGTTGCGCAAAAGGCTTCCAGGCGTTATCTCTGCATGATCACAAGATCCAATCTGCCCCGGCCACGACCCATTCCATAACTCAGTAACCGGATGGATGTCTGCCACCTTTGGGCGCCCAACATTTATAATAGTAGGAGCACAGGTATATGAACTCCGCCTTTAAAAACAGAAGGTTTTCTCAGTATACAAATACAATTGCTTCCTTGGATAGAATAACACGCACTTTTTCCCCACGCGTTCCAGAAAAAAAATCACTTTATGCAATGTGTTAAAGTTCAAAACCACACAAACCTTCTGCCACACTGAGTAAATGTGTTACACTGGTTAAAAGTTAAAATCAAAAACCTCTTTCATTTTAGTAAATATATGTTTTTTCATGTAGAATATTTTGTTACCGACTTTTCACTCTTATAGATCAAGTAATTATGCTTTTAAATGCCCTTTACCTTTTCCAACATACCATGTTGTGTCTAATAATTACCAAAGGAAAAATGTGCGTAATCTTTACTTACTAAGTCAATTTTTGCAAATCAAAAACCTCCACAGTCAACAGAAGTAGGTAGAGAAAGAAGTTTGTATTGTATTTTTTTGTTGTTTTTTTTTAACTACTCTTTGCAGACCAGATGGAGAAGTTGGGGGAAGAAAAAGCCAAAGGAATTTCCCTGACTTCTAAGCCTCCGGGCTGGAGTAGGGGGAGGGGTATGCCAATGCTGCTCGCTTTTCCTTTTTCGGACAGGCGAGGGCGCACAAGGACAGCGGAGGCCGTAGGGACGCAACTGTCAGCTCCCCTTGTCTCTCTTCTGTGTGCGTGCGCGAGACCAACATGGCAGCAACTCTCTGGTGTCTGACTTTAAGACTAATCACTTCCATCCAAGAACTTTACCTTTTTTAGTGCAAATCAGCATAAATTAGTTAACTCCAAACAGGTGATGAAGTTCAGCATGTCAGTGTCCTCATCTACCAATTGCAGTCAAAAGCAAACCATCCCGGCTTATGCAAAGACGCTCATCCAATGCCATATATGTACATTAAGCAGTCTTAAAATTCGCATGGGTCAGCTGGATTGATGGGACCTTTACTGCTATTTATTTTTTATTTTTCAAAAGAGAAAAGGCCATCATTCTAAAAAAGCATATTGCAGATTTTCTTTGAATCGGTGCTTATCATTATTTGATGGAATACTGGAATTTCATAAAACTATGTTGCTTGGAAAGCAGTAAAACAAACAAACCCATAAAGTTAGAAACAACCAAATGATCAGACAGGCAATATACCAACATTATTACACCGAAACCGAATGATCTTCAGTCACTATATATTCCTATCAAATGAAGCTTTTCATCTGGGAGAGTTTTTTTTTTTTTTTTTTTTAAATCAACCACCCTGAACTGTGTAACTGAAGGTTAACATATTATCTGTGTGAAACATCAGATACTATCAACAAGTCACTTCGTTGTTGAGGGACAAACTCATTTGACTTTGGGTCCTGTCTTGACTCAGGTCAATAATATTTAGAACCAGAAATACAACTGCTATGGGATGTGTGCCTTTTTCTTCACTTCCTCCTCAATTAGATAAAT